TTTTTTTTTTTTTTTTTTTTTTTTTTAGTTTTTCGAGACAGGGTTTCTCTGTGGCTTTGGAGCCTGTCCTGGCACTAGCTCTGTAGACCAGGTGGTCTCCAACTCACAGAGATCTGCCTGCCTCTGCCTCCTGAGTGCTGGGATTAAAGGCGTGAGCCACCACCGCCCGGCTAGGCTACCTTTTTGTTGAGTTGTCGTAGCACTGAATATTAATGTGATGGCCTCACACAGGCTGTGCAAACTCTCTACCACTGAGCCACACCCTAAAGCTAGCATAGTCCTGTTTTTTAATCTCTGTGATTTTGATCATTCTAGGTCAGAGGTGTGCATTTGTGTATGTGTATGGCTAGGGATTGAACCTATGGCCTCCAGCAGGTCAGGCATGCTAGGTAAGTGCCCTACCACTGAACTGTATGACCACCCAGACGATGATGATGTTTGTCTTGCTTTTTGTTTTGTTGAGACAGTAGCCCTGGCTGGCCTGTAGCTCATTAAAAAGATCAAACTGGCCTTCAACTAACAAAGATCCGTTTAATTCTGCACCAAAAGTGCTGGAATTAAAATTGTGTATCATCACACTTTGTTCTTCTTATTAAAAAAAGGAATTGGGGTCCTGGAAGTGGCGGTGCATACCAGCACTCAGGAGGCAGAGCCAGGTGGATCTCTGTGAGTTCCAGGCTAGCCTGCTTTATACAATGAGATCTAGACCAGATGGGGCTACACACGAAAACAATAACAAAAAAAATGGAGCTAAAGTTGATGTGTAGTCAATGAAACCAATTAGAAAGTCCAAAAATATATCCAATATACATGGAAATAACATGGTCAAGACATAATACCAATCGAGGCCAGCCTGTCCTACAAAGCAAGTCCCAGGACAGCCAGGGATGTTACACAGAGAAACTCTGTTTTTGAAAAATAAACGAACCAAAAAGATATAATACCAAATCAGTAAGAAAAGGGTGGGATTATATTTGGGGTTGGGATAACTAGTCAACTATCTAGTAATGGTTAACATGAATCTACACAACAAGATAAACTGAAATGTAAAGAAAAAAGCAACAAAAACACTGGGGGAATTTTGTTTCATTTTGTTTTTGTCTTTTGAGACAGGGTTTCTTTGTGTAAGAGAAATTTTTTATACTCTCAAAAGGAGGAAAGTATTTTTAAATGCAAAACAAAACCTAATTCCATTAAAGAGGGGCTGGGGAGATGGCTCCGGGGTTAAAAGCTTAGATTGCTATTGCAGAGGATTTGTGTGTCCAGCACTATCTATATCCCCAGCTCCAGGGAATCTGATGCCTCCAGCCTCAAAGAAAACCCACATTCACATAGTTAAAAATAAAATAAATCTTTTTTTAATGCGATAAAGAAAAATCGATACATTTAGTATTGATGTGGGGTTTCGCCAGAGAAGACTGCTCGGACATGGGTTTAAGCCAATAGATAGTCTTTATTTGATGGCCGGCAATCACTGCATGGTGGTGGCGCTCGCCTTCAATCCCAGCACTCAGGAGACAGAAATAGGTGAATCTCAGTGAGTATGAGGCCAGCCTGATCTCCAGAGAGAGTTTCAGGACAGGCTTCAAAGCTGTAGAGAAACCCTGTCTCAAAAAACAAAACAAAGCAAAACAAAGCCAAAAGATGGCTGGCAACTACACTGGGTGCTTGGGATCCTTTCTCGGGGTAAACTTGTAAGGACTAAAACCTTGTCCTGGGTTGACATGCTTCAGTTAACAAGAACAGTCAGCCAGACACAGAACTAC